ATATGGTACGTCGTTAATATATATACGTTGAAAAGCCAATTATTTATAATCCTCATATACTACCTGATTATCTACTTCACAAATTCATTTTATTTTCTAGAATCATTTCTCTGAGATACTTAGATATATTAGACAAATGCACTCTTCGTATGTGTTTATTATTAAACAAATGTACACCTATTATCACTACTCATTGTTTATATTACTCAGACCCCTAAGTAAAATTAGACAAGTGAAATTTCCATTTAAGATATATATGAACCACATATATGCTATAATTATTAAACAAATATGTATAAAAAAAATACTATCATCCGTTCCACATATTACTCAAACCCCAAAGCATCTTAGACAAATGAGCTTATCATTTCAGAAAACTTATCTGATATTAATTTTTATTATTTAATAAAATATACATATATAAATTACTATTAGTTACTCTACATAATACTTAAACCCCATGGTATATTACACAAGTGAGCTCTTTATTGGATATATATTTTTAAATTAAACAAATGTATGTATATAAATTACTATCATGTATTTCACATAATACTCAGACTTTAAGGTATATTCACAAGTAAGCTCTTCATTCTAGAAACTAATCACGTATATATTTTTATTATTTACCAAACATACATAAATTTTAACCTTTCATTCTATACATATATTACTTAGCTTCCTAAGGAAAATTAGGCAAGAGAGGTTGTGATTTGAGAAAACTTATGACTTACATGTGTAAATAATGAAACAAATATATATATTACATATATATAAATTACTACCATTCATTCCACATATTACTAGGAACCCAAGTTATACATTAACAAGCAACTTTTTCATTTCAGAAAACGGATCGCATATGTGATCATTATTTAACAAATATACATATCTAGATTATTTCCTTTCATTCTACATTTTGATCATATTCCTAAATAAAACTAGACAAACGTACGTTTGATATAATAAAACTAGCACGATTCTGCTGAATTGAGAACAAATTTTAGCAAGATAACTATAAACAACTTTAAAATACGTCAATATAGCTTAGTTTTCAAGATATCGAGCTTTAAAGTTAGAAAAATTTAAGTAAAAACCAACAAAAATAGTTGTTATTACTAGTTATTGTAGCTAGTAAAGGTCTGTCTAAAGCAGATAACGTGAAAGGAATTACATAGATGTGCACGTGGGTTAGGAAGTGATTAGGAAAAGTGATTGGGTGGTATCTTAGAAGATAACAACCAAGATCAAGGCGGAGAAACCTAGACACATCAATGGGTCGGGTTCAAAGAAATGGCTTAAGTTAGTGTTTGCACTCCCAAAAGGTACTTCATCAGCAGGTTATTATTAGTCTTTAGTTATCTCTCATGTAAAATGATAACAACTCAATTATAGCTATATAAGTATACAGCATATTAAAAGAGTATATCTAATTAGCTGAGTCTATTAGAATGCGTAATCAAATTGGTAGACTCTAGAAATCGTAATCCTATTATAAAACTAATCACATATATTTTTCTTACAGTGCTCTTTTGCAAAGGTGTACACCGGCTAACATGCAAACTGAATTTCATTAAGAATTTACGTTTAGTAAATTATAATTAAAATTAGTTCCTATTTTCAAGACCGCTTCTTGAATATGTAGGCCGTGTGCGAGTAAAGTGATAGTAAATTGAAGGAAATAGTAAATTTTGTCGGTAAAAGAGCGAATGTTGATATTTACCAGAATTTTGAATAGGGTAAATTAAACAAAAATCAGGTAAATTAGGTGTTACCTTGTGAAAATTGTGAAAGTTGTTTAATAAATAAATTTGAAAACTTTTAAACGAAAATTATAAATAAGTGCAATATATAAATAAATATTTACATAAGTGTAGTGCAAAAAATTCCTAGGAAATTTCAATTTACTTTACCTTAATACACTCGAACTCGCACACGACCGTAATAAGGTTAATGGTATTTGGGGTTTTCGGGTTAGGCTAAGGCCCCTATGCACTGCGACCAGTTTGATCTATTGTGCACGTCGTAATATGTTTGTAATGTATTTAATATTCTGATTTATACATACGAATTGTGAATTTTATCATAAAATAAATTGTCTTATAATATATATATATATATATATATATATAGTACAATGCTACTATTTTTGTTTCTTTTAAGGTTTT